TATTGGAGACTCTGCTCCCGAGTTTTCATTGAGTAGTAGCTTTTCTAACCATGTTCCTACAAGAGAGAAACTGGGTGAAAACAGCAATGAACCTCTTAGAACGGTGGTGCACGACCACTTCCGAGCTCTTGTGGCTGAGTTATTGCGTGGGGAGGAGCTTAGTCCATCTGATGATGGTAGTGCAGGGGACTGGCTGGATATTGTCACAGCTTTAGCATGGCAGGCTGCGAATTTTGTAAAGCCGGATACTCGTGCAGGCGGCAGTATGGATCCCGGGAATTATGTCAAGATAAAATGTGTAGCATCGGGAAATCAAAACGAGAGGTATAATTATCTGTTGGAACAATTTCTTTTCCTACTCTTGCCACTATCCGAATCATTAGTAGTTTCTTCTGGCTAATAATTACTAATCGCATACCTTGTTTCTGTAGCAATCTCATCCGGGGAATAGTGTGCAGCAAGAACATTACGCACAAACGAATGACGTCGCAGTACAAAAATCCAAGGCTACTGCTTTTAGCTGGGTCTCTCGAGTATCAGAGAGTTGCAGGCCAGTTAGCGTCCTTTAACACGTTGCTCCATCAGGTTGGTCTTTTGCTATTCTTTAGAATGGCTGCTTAAAAATCTCTGATTTACAAGCTAAACGAAACTGTTGAATTTTTGTGACTTGGACAGGAAAATGACCATCTCAAGGCGATGATAGCAAAAATAGAGTCGCTTCGCCCTAATGTTCTTCTGGTAGAGAAAAGTGTATCTTCATATGCCCAGCAATACCTTCTAGAGAAGGAGATTTCGTTGGTGCTTAATGTGAAAAGGTCATTGCTGGACCAAATAGCCCGTTGCACCGGTGCTGTTCTATGCCCCTCGGTAGATAGTATTTCTACTGCTCGGTTGGGGCACTGTGAGCTATTCCGGACTGAGAAAGTGCTGGAGCAACACGAAGCTGGCAGTCTTTCAAACAGAAAACCAAGGACATTAATGTACTTTGAAGGGTGTCCTAGGCGCCTAGGTTGCACGGTATGCTCATTTATTGATTTCTCGAACCTTTGTGGCTAATTAAAGAAGCCAGCTAACTTATATTTACTATCTCCGTTCCTCAGTGTATTTGTTATTTGTACAATTGTTCTTTAGTTTTTCATTCTTAACTTGATTAGACTTTTGTGAAACTTGTGCAGATTGTGCTTAGAGGCAGTTGTCGCGAAGAGCTAAAGAAGGTTAAGCACGTTATTCAGTACGCTGTATTTGCAGCTTATCACTTATCATTGGAGACTTCGTTCCTTGCGGATGAAGGTGCTTCTCTGCCTAGAATTAAACTGAAGCAACCAGGGATGGTGCGGACAGCATCAGAAAGGAGAATGATTGATGATGGCATTTCCCTAGTAACTCGTCAAGCTTTAATTGATACATCTGCACACGAAGATGAAAATACGGTCTCGATGCCTGAGCCTGAGGTTTGTGAATCATTGTGTGAGGAGTTTGATCCTAGTCTGATATTCCCATCGTCTTCTGAATTGATATCTTGTGAAGTTGACACTGAGCATTCTGATGCCCTGAATGGAGAATTTTCCGATAACTTGGTGACAAGATCGTATTCCTCGAATCAGTTAAATGATTTACATGAGCCCACTGGTGGAGAAGAGAACCAGTTAGTGAACACCAATGATCTGCCACAACATGAGAAATTCGATGAAGATGATGTTTCTAGCGAATACTTCTCTTCCGCGGACTCTCATCAGAGCATATTGGTCTCGTTTTCAAGCCGTTGTGTTTTGAAAGAATCAGTATGTGAACGCTCACGACTCTTGCGGATTAAGTTCTATGGATCCTTTGATAAACCTCTTGGAAAATATTTGAAGGATGATCTTTTCGATCAGGTAGCTCTTTTATCTCGAAACGTGCATCCACTTTTTGCAACTTTCTTAAATGCCACGGAATAAGCAATTTAAAGTTCACCTTTTTCTGTACAGAGTTCCAGTTGTAGAACATGTAAAGAGCTGGTTGATGCGCATGTCCTCTGCTATTCTCATCAGAACGGAAATCTTACTATCAATGTTAGACGTCTCTCTTCCATGAAGCTTCCCGGTGAACAAGATGGGAAGATATGGATGTGGCATCGTTGCTTACGATGTGCACATGTAGATGGGGTTCCACCTGCTACTCGTAGAGTCGTTATGTCTGATGCGGCATGGGGGCTGTCTTTTGGAAAGTTTCTTGAACTTAGCTTTTCGAATCATGCTACTGCGAATCGTGTTGCATCCTGTGGCCATTCGCTTCAGAGAGACTGCCTTCGATTCTATGGGTAAACGCTGTATAATCTCATTCTCTAGAGCTATCTCAATGCTGTTAAAGCACTAATAATATTATGATTATAACTTGTTTTGCAGATTTGGGGACATGGTTGCGTTCTTTAGATATTCTCCCATCAATATACTTACTGTCTTCTTACCTCCGTCAATGCTTGAATTCAACAGCCATCAACAACCGGAGTGGATACGGACAGAGGCAGCCGAGGTGGGTATTAAGAATTTTCTTAAGGCCCTTTTGCTTCAGCTTTTAGATACGCAAATGTTACAGCTCATATACTTTCTCTTTGTTGCATTTTACAGCTTATGCGTAAAATGCGGACTATGTATACGGAAATCTCTGGTATGCTTAACCACTTGGAAGAAAAAAGCAGTTTGCTTGAACCTGAACAATCTGAAGTCTCTGATCTGCAGAGTCGCATAATCGGATTAAAAGATCAACTGGTGAAGGAAAAAGATGAATACGATGTGAACATCTCATTCTTTTGTTCCGGCTTCTTCTTTTTCTTTTTCTTTTTCAAGATTGCTTGTGCTTTCTGAAATCTTGATGATGCTTGTTGCATTTGTATTTGATGGATCCTTGCTCATCGTGAAACAGGATGCGTTGCAACCTATTTTTGTGGAGAATCTGCAAAATCAGGGAAGTTTGGATATTCTAGAGCTGAATCGATTGAGACGGGCACTCATGATTGGTTCTCATGCTTGGGATCATCAGCTTTACTTGTTAAACTCTCAACTCAAGAAAGCATCTGTATTTAAAGCTGGTGATGACCATGCTTCCCGGGAGATGCATGATCCTTCAAAGATTGACCTTAGACAGCAGGAAGGTAGAGATGAGGGGGAGAGAAAAGCCCATTCAGATGAAGAAGCTAATGGTGATAACAAAGATCTCGAGAAAATGCTCTCCCCTGGCTCTTCTTTGTCTGAGAGGATAGATTCGGCGTGGTTGGGCTCGTTTCACTCTCTCGAGAAAGCCGAGACAATTGCTGAGACAGAGGGCTTTACAGCTGCTAATTCTCCTCTCCGGAGGCTCGCCAGGCCTATTAGAGTCCAGTCTTTTGATTCAGCTATACGATTTCAAGAACGTATCCGAAAAGGTTTGCCACCATCTTCTTTGTATCTCTCGACCCTCAGATCATTCCACGCTTCTGGCGAGTACAGGAATATGGTGAGGGACCCTGTTACGAATGTGATGAGGACTTACTCACAGATGTTGCCACTGGAAGTACAGAAGTTGGATTTGATTGTTGGTTCAACGCCTACATACATCTCTTCAGCATCTCAGATGGCTGATGGGGCTCGGATGCTGATTCCTCAACGGGGCCTCAATGATATCGTGATTCCTGTATATGATGATGATCCTGCAAGTGTTGTATCATATGCTCTTAATTCCAAGGAATATAAGGAGTGGGTTGCTAACAAAGGCATTGCTAGTAGTAGTGGCAGTAACTGGAACAATAGAGAGTCTGAACCTTCCGGCTTCTCCAGTTGGCGTTCTTTGGGGACGATGGATGTTGATTACATTCACCACGCGGTGTATGGTTCTTCTCAAGACGATAAAAAGTCTCCGCATTTGACCATTTCTTTCAGCGACCGTTCTCCTTCTTCCTCTAGTGCAACTGAAGGTAAGGTGAAGTTCTCTGTGACCTGTTATTTTGCAACGCAGTTTGACACTCTGAGAAAGACGTGCTGTCCGAGCGAAGTGGACTTTGTGAGATCCTTGAGCCGGTGTCAGAGATGGTGTGCACAGGGAGGGAAAAGCAATGTTTACTTCGCCAAGTCATTGGACGAGAGGTTCATCATAAAGCAAGTCGTCAAAACCGAGCTGGATTCTTTCGAGGATTTTGCATCTGAATACTTCAAATATATGAAAGAGTCGCTCTGTTCCGGGAGCCCCACTTGTCTTGCTAAGATTCTCGGTATCTACCAGGTTAGTGACAATATAGGGAATGTAAAACTGTGGAGCCAAAGTTTTTACTTTGAAATGGAATACTTGAGCGTGTGAATGATTGATTTGAATGCTATGTCTTGCTTGCAGGTCTCGATTAAACATTCGAAAGGTGGAAAAGAGACGAAAATGGATTTGATGGTGATGGAGAATCTCTTCTACAACAGAAAAATATCCAGAATCTACGATCTCAAGGGATCTGCACGGTCACGGTACAATCCAAACACATCCGGAACAGACAAAGTATTGCTAGACATGAATTTGCTCGAGACACTGCGCACAGAACCGATATTCCTAGGAAGCAAGGCCAAGAGAAGCCTCGAGAGAGCTATATGGAACGACACAAACTTCTTAGCTGTAAGTATATTTCATTACTACCACTAAATAATTTGATCTTAATTCATTAATCTTATTTGCTCATTATCTTCTTCTTCTGGTGGTTTTTACTTTAGTCTGTGGATGTAATGGACTATTCATTGCTGGTTGGTTTCGATGAAGAGCGTAAAGAGCTGGTACTCGGGATCATCGACTTCATGAGACAGTACACATGGGACAAGCACCTTGAGACTTGGGTTAAAGCCTCAGGCATTTTAGGTGGACCAAAGAACGCATCTCCGACCATAATATCACCAAAACAGTACAAGAGGAGGTTTCGAAAGGCCATGACCACTTATTTTCTCACTGTTCCTGAGCCATGGACATCTTGAGTGTGAAAGAGAGAACCATTTTTCACCATTCTTTTGTTTTACTGATCTTAATTTGTTCTTCTACAATAAAAAGGGAAATTGGTTTAACAGACTGATTGATATATACAGGTTCGAACCTGACTGATTGATTATCA